CACCGGAAGTGGCGCTGCGACCTGCCGCTGCCAGAGAAAGCGCCAGTCCCTGCTGCACTGTTATGCGCTTACAGTTTCCCCGTGTTCTCCTCCTGCTTCACACCTTCACACGCACTGATGCCATCTACCGGAATGGAGGATTCATTACCACAGCACTTGACACATAGCACTAGCTTTACAATAAATAAAAACGAATAAAACTTACAATTAATAAAATGTGAACCCTGGACAACAAAACCAGTCATAAGGGTAAGTTTTTTTAAATTGACATTTATACATTATCTGAAAGCTCAATAAATAAGCTTTCTATTGATGTATGGTTTGTTAGGATAGGTAAAACAATATTTGGAGGAGATACAGCTATTTGAAAATCTGGAATCTGAGGGTTCAAAAAAAAAAAAAATCAGAATATTAAGAAAATCTCCTTTAAAGTTGTCCTAATTAAGTCCTTAGCAATGCATATTACTATTCAAAAATTAAGTTTTGATATATTTATGGTAGGAAATTCACAAAATATCTTCATGGAACATGATCTTTACTTAATATCCGAATAATTTTTGGCATTAAAGAAAAAACTATAATTTTGACCCATACAATGTATTTTTGGCTATTGCTACAAATATACCCCAGCGACTTAAGACTGCTTTTGTGCTCCAGGGTCACAAATACAACAGATAAAACCATGAAACTGTTTTAGACTGTAACACTGGATTCTAACCAGTGTTAATTTTGACAGCAAATTTTGATTTAGTTTTAGTCATAGTCTTTTGACATCTGGAATCTGAGGGTATCTGAGGGTTCAAAAAAAAAAGAAAATCTCCTTTAAAGTTGTCCTAATTAAGTCCTTAGCAATGCATATTACTGTTCAAAAATTAAGTTTTGATATATTTATGGTAGGAAATTCACAAAATATCTTCATGGAACATGATCTTTACTTAATATCCGAATAATTTTTGGCATTAAAGAAAAAACTATAATTTTGACCCATACAATGTATTTTTGACTATTGCTACAAATATACCCAAGCGACTTAAGACTGGTTTTGTGGTCCAGGGTCACAAATAGAAAATAAACAAATATCCTATTTAAAACAAAGCATAAAAGAAAAAAGAAAAATCAATATTTAGCTGTTATCATGTTACATATCCAAAAACTATAGTACCAAGTACAAAGATAAATTAAGAAAACAAACAAATAAATAAACCCAGAAATAACTTTGTTAGTTTTGTTGTATTGCGTTACAGGTTCAGAAACATCAACATGGCGGAACAAAGAAATAAGATAAAGGGGGAAAAAAGGAAAATGTATTTTGTTTGTTACAAAGTTTTTATATTTGTTTCATTATTTATTTGACATATTCATTTTTATTATTCGTCATTAAAAAAAAGATAAATTACTGTGATTTCAGTAAACCACCCAAGCATGACACTGAGTCTTAGTTAACACTATTTTATTCATAAAATATATATCAAATCACATTGACAGCAATCAAGCAAAACTTAGTGTTGGTCTGTTGGTGAGCTCAAAGAGAAGCACAACAGTAGCAGTATCTGTAACACTGTATGTGTGATACAGAAATAAAAGATCAATACAAATGAAAATATTTCCATCTGAAAAAAAGATCAAAGAGCTGGTTTCACTGCATAACTAAGTAAATACACAATAGCCTTTTTTAAATGTGCTCTTCTGAGTACAATTCTAACACTTCGAAGTGATTCAAAGAGACAATACATGTCTGTAGGTTGAGTTATAAGCACATTTCTATCCCACAGACATAACTGGCACAGAGATGCTCGTCTGGCAAAGGTTTAGATTCTTTGGGGGTCAAGTGCAGATAATTGACTTTCAAAGCCTTAGGCAAAAGGTCAAAGGCTACATTATAATTGATTGTAAAAGTTTCCCATTAAACAAAACAAAGCAATGAAAATGTCAATAATCACATCAAAACAAAAAATGTAACCTTGGTTTCATCCTCAAAAAATGAGAATAAAGTTGTGGCAATATATTGCACAATGGAATGATAAAACTAAAACTAAAATATGTCTAATCTGGTCAGCATATCACTTTATTAGCTGCATATAACACCCAATAAATGTCAGATCAGAAGTAGAAAGTGGGTCTCACCAAACGCTTCACTTTTCACAACCAGATATTAAGCCAGCAAAAAAGAAGCATGGATTCACGGCAAACATGTATTACATATCACAGCTCCGTTTCGGATAAGTAAATATAATCCAAAAGTTTGTGATGAATAAAAGCAATTTCACATCCAACAAAAGAAAAGTGGTTTTTCTCCCATTTTTCTCAAACACAACCCAATGGCTTGTCTATCCCGTGTTCGAGGTCTCAGAATGTAGTCTTGGCTATATAAATTAAATAACTTAAGGGACTTTTTTATAAAATTTGAGTTTCTGTCATTCTTTACTCACCCTCATCTCATTCCAAACCTGCATGGCTTCCTTTCTTCTGTGGAACACAAAAGAAGATATTTTGAAGTATGTCGCAACTGTTTTTGTCCAAATAACAGGGTTCAAAACAATGCTGGGTTCCGTTTACTTTCATTGTATGGACATTTTTATCTTTTTGCATTCTGAAGAAGAAAGTCATACAGGTTTGGAATGACATGAAGAGTGAATAAATATATCACATCGTAAGAATATAGTGATCAAACACCGCACTGTACCTTAAAGGATTTATTTAAAAGAAAATAAACACTTAAAATTGTTTTTCGTAGTCTTGTTTTTGGCCGCAAATCCCTTAGTATTTTTATTCATAAAGCTGTAAATACATACACTAGTCCTGATGGAAAAAATGGAACTGTAATGATAAAATCTAAGCTGCCAATTTCATAGGCCATTAGTAGTCAAGGATGAGCACCTCCTTGCTTCAGAGACCTTGAAGGGCTTAAACCAACAGATCAGTAATTATTTTTCCCACACTCATTTTTTCATCAGAAAATGACAGATAGGAACGTGTTAGTTAGCAATGTGTTTCAAATGCAAGAAAAACACAACTAGGTTGCAGCAGTCACATTGTGAGGAGTCAGAAAGTGCTCAGGTGAAGGTTTACTATAATGTGCTTATATTATTTGCGCACACACAAACACACACATACAGAGCTCAAATGTCTTTCGTGTCAGTCCGCTTCACACGTTTTAAGTCTCAACTGTAAATGTTACAAGAAAATGTTTTTTCACTCTATTGCTAAACGTTCGGTAAACAATGGCGTGTGAAGCGCAAATTCTTTCTCTTTCCTTGATTAGGCAAAATGATTAAAAACTACATTTTTGGTAACAAGAACTACGAATAGATTTGTGAAAAACAGAGCTTAAACCTCCAGGCCTTGGCGAGAAAA